TAATTTGGTAATTAGGTTAAATAAATATCAAATCTAAAGTGTAATCATATATAACCTAAATTTCAATTTTAAAATAATATCTTTACTTCTACTTATAAAATTATGTTTTTTTTTTTTAACTTTTAACATGTTATACTTAATTTATTAGTTTTAATATATTGTTGAATGTAAACCATTATCATTTTAAAGGTATAATTTTTAAACAATTTGTATAAAATACTTAAATTATTAATTAAAATATAACATTATAGGCTCATCTTAAATATAAATTTTATTTAACTCAAACAACCCGAAGATTATTTTATAAATAGTTAAAAGTGATAAATTGTAGTGTTTTTCTAATAATGATTGTAAATTGGTTAATAATGTTAAATAAATATCAAACCTAAAGTGTAATCATAAATATACTAAATTTCAATTTTAAAATAATATATTTACTTCTATTTATAAAGCTATATCTTTAAATTTTAACATAGTTTACTTAATTTATTAGATTTAAAATGTTGTTGCATGTAAACCATTATCAGTTTAAAGCTACAACTTTTGAACAGTTTTGACAAACTAATTAAATTGTTAATTTAAATATAACATTACAGTGTCAACTTAAATATAAATTTCAGTTCCACTAAAAAAACCAAATAATATTTTGTAAATAGTTAAAAGTGATAAATTATAGTAATAAATGCAAAAACTAAATTGTAATATCAGTTTAACTAAAATATTTCATAAATATATTTTTTATAATCGTTAAAAATTTTTAAATAAGTAGCTTAAAATAATTTATAATAACAACAGTTAAAAATAACTCTATATAAATGATTGTATTGTTACCTTTAAAATCAAATAATAATGTTTGATGTTTTAAATAATTATAATGATACAATTAAAACATTAAGCAAATAAATTTTAAAAAATTAGTTAACAATAACAACAACTATAAATAATGTTAAACCATATATAATATTTAATTTTATTGATCTGTAACTAGCGAGTAGAAGTCATTCAAACAATTGAGATTATGACATTATAATAGATGTATATATTATCATATAATTCAAAATAATCAATATATTATATCAAATTAATATACAAATTATTATATCAAATTTAACAACAACGTTAGAGTTATATATATATATATATATATATATATATATATATATATATATATATATATATATATATATATATAAATTTCAACTATATAGGTGTTTCTGCGTATTACAATATCAACTCAAATATAAATTTCAGTTCCATTTAAAATACTAAATAATATTTTGTAAATAGTTAAAAGTAATAAATTATAGTGATAAAAGCAAAAACTAAATTATAATATCAATTTAACTAAAATATTTCTTAAATATATTTTTATAAACGTTAAAAGTTTTCAAATAAGTAGCTTAAAATAACTTATAATAGCCATAGTTAAAAACAACTCCATATAAATGATTATATTGTTAGTTTTACAATTAAAAAAAAAACAATGTTTGATGTTTTAAATAATTTTAATGATAGAAATTAAAACATTAAGCAAATAAACTTTAAAAAATTAAGTAACAATAAAGACAACTATAAATAATATCAAATCATATATTATATGTAATTTTAATTATGTGTAACTCGCAGGTAGAAGTCATTCAAATGATTGAGATTATGAAGTTATAATAAATGTATGTATTATCATATAATTCAAAATAATCAATATATTATATCAATTTAGTATATACAAATTATTATATCAAATTTAACAACAACGTTATTGTTATATTTAAAAAAACATATATTTGAAAAGATTTCAACTATATAGGTGTTTTTGCGCAACGTGCGAGCATTCGCCTAGTATACTTATAAAGGAAGCATTTTTCATTTCATCACATTCATTTGAAACTCCCATGTATTTTTTCCTTTCACAACTTTCATTTGAAACCCCCATGACTTTTCAATTTCTTTCTAATAATATGTTGTTATATGTAAACCATTATCTGTTTAAAGCTACAACCTTTGAACATTTTGGATAAAATACTTCAATTTTTAACTAAAATATAACATTACAAAGTCAACATAAATATAAATTTCAGTTCCATTTAGAAATCAAAAAAATATTTTATAAATAGTTAAAAGTGATAATTTGTAGTGATAAATGCAAAAACTAAATTGCAATCTCAATTTAACTAAAATATTACTAAACATATTTTTATAATGGTTAAAAGTTCTTAAATGAGTAGCTTAAAATAACTTATAATAACAATAGTTAAAAATAACTCTATATAAATGATTATATTCTTACATTTAAAATCAAAAAATAATGTTTGATGTGTTAAATAATTATAATGATGGAATTTAAAACATTAAGCAAATCAATTTTAAAAAATTAGTTAACAATAATAACAAATATAAATAACATTAAACCATATATTAAATTTAATTTTATTCATGTGTAACTCACGAGTAGAATTCATTCAAACGATTGAGATAATGAAGTTATAATAGATGTAAATATTATCATATAATTCAAAATAATCAATATATCATCTGAATTTAATATACAAACTATTATATCAAATTTAACAACAACATTATTGTTATATTAAAACAAACATATTTTTATAAAAACTTCAACTATACAGGTGTTTCTGCGCATTACAATGTTAACTTAAATATAAATTTCAATTTCACTTGAATAACCAAAGAATATTTTGTAAATAATTAATAGTGATAAATTGTAGTCGTAAATACAAAAACTTAATGGTAATATCAGATTAACTGAAATATTTCCTAAATATATATTTATAGTTCTTAAAAGTTTTCCAAATAAGTAGTTTAAAATAATTTTTAATAATAATAGTTAAAAATAACTCTATATAAATAATTATATTATTACCTTTAAAATATATATATATATATATATATATATATATATATATATATATATATATATATATATATATATATATATATATATATATATATATATGTTTGATGTTTTAAATAATTATAATGATAGAAATTAAAACATTAAGCAAATAAATTTTTAAAAATTAATTGACAATAACAACTATAAATAAAATTAAACTATATATTATATTTAATTTTATTCATGTGTAAGTTACGGGTAAAAGTCATTCTAACGATTGAGATTATGAAGTTATAATAGATGTATATATTATCATATAATTCAAAATAATCAATATATTATATCAATTTAGAATAAAGATTATTATATCAAGTTTAACAACAACGTTATTGCTATATTTAAAAAACATATATTTATAAAAACTTCAACTATATAGTTACTTCTGCGGAACGCGCGGACATTCGTCTTATATATATATATATATATATATATATATATATATATATATATATATATATATATATATATATATATATATATAGAGAGAGAGAGAGAGAGAGAGAGAGAGGGAGGGAGAAAGGTTATGGAAAACAAAAAAACCGCAACTTTTTTTATAAATCCGTTGAAAAAAAAAATTAAAAATTTGATTTTTTTTAGTTTTTATTTATTTATTTTATGTTTTTTTTTCAAAATAAATTTCAACAAATTTATATAAAAAGGTGCGGTTTTAAAGAATATAAAGTAACAAAAAGATTTGTAATCTCTAAATATATTTTTTTTTTGAGCTTTTATGATTTTTAGGGTTTTTTGTTTTTTCCATAGAACCTAAACATATATATATATATATATATATATATATATATATATATATATATATATATATATATATATATATACACACACACGAGAACTAATCAGAATAATACACATCATTACTTTTGATTAGTTTTAATAAATCATTTAATTTATTTAAAAAGGGTATACATGTCAATTACATAGGTTTGGAATCCACTATTTCACAACTGCTTGTTGGATAACTTCTTTCAAATTTAAATCGCGGGCATATTCATATTGATACTAAGTGCTTGTTGGACAACTTTTTTCAAATTTACACTTACTATAACTTATATCCTAAATCTTCATGAGTCCAAAATTCAATTAATAAATACTTCAAACACTACAAGAAAAATACCCTTTAATGATGCGCAAACCATGACACACGCTTTTCTGTGTGCCCTAAAAATAATGTCAGTTCTTCAAAAATGTGAATGATTAATATATATACACACGAGAACTAATCAGAATAATACACATCATTACTTTTGATTAGTTTTAATAAATCATTTAATTTATTTAAAAAGGGTATACATGTCAATTACATAGGTTTGGAATCCACTATTTCACAACTGCTTGTTGGATAACTTCTTTCAAATTTAAATCGCGGGCATATTCATATTGATACTAAGTGCTTGTTGGACAACTTTTTTCAAATTTACACTTACTATAACTTATATCCTAAATCTTCATGAGTCCAAAATTCAATTAATAAATACTTCAAACACTACAAGAAAAATACCCTTTAATGATGCGCAAACCATGACACACGCTTTTCTACAATACGCAAAAGTGTGTGCCCTAAAAATAATGTCAGTTCTTCAAAAATGTGAATGATTTAGAACGCGCATTTTTGCGTGCCCTAAAAAGAGTGTTAAAAAAAGGCAGAGGGCACCTATCTTAAATAGTGTATCGTGAAATTATGTCACTTTATATTTTTTTTAATGAAACGCGCATCTTCATCTAGCGGATCTTTAGTAGCAGCGGGAAAAGGAATTCTCAAAAAAAATTAGAAGAGTTGAAAACCCCGCCATTGCAGGGGCCATTATTTAGGGCTTTTTCAAGGAGTGTTGTGTGTAATATTCGCTCCCTCACCTCACCTCCTATCGGCGACCTCAGGTCATCTCTTTCCACCGACGAGCTCGACTCATCTGTTTCCACCAGCGACATTGGGCTCACCTCACCTCACCGAAGACTGCAACGACAACTGAAGTTTACAAGCCCTATGTACAATTAAGGTATGTTTTGGTTTACAAGCCCTACCTAATTCCGCCGACCGTTGTTCTCCACATATCCAATTTCTTTCCTTCCCATGGTCCGTCAATTAAATCTAATTCGCCATGGTCCGTCAATCACATCTCCAAGACTCAAGATCTGCTATCGAGCTTCTCAGACGTCTGCTCCCACCAACACCACATCAAGATTCGCCCCTCTCGACACTATCAACACCACCTCCTTCGATGCTGATCAGTACATGAACCTTATTGTACGCCCTCTTATCTCATCTTGAAATTGTATCCCTTAGATATTTTCTCTCTTCTTTTATCTCTTAATGTTTTATCAAAATCTGGGTTATATTTACAATTTAATTGAGCCCATTTCATGTCAGAGGTAAACTCTTTCTCTCTACGGGTATCAAGTGTATATACATATCACTATGCTATTCAAGACTTACAATGAAGGTTCCACGTTACCCTTATTCCAGATTTAGAAATCTAGATTTCTCCATTTAGCCTTGATTAATCGGACATGTTTTTGCCAACCCTTTGATGCTGTTATCCTTAGCCACTTGGAGGAGTAAAATTGTTCAATTAGAGAGTCAAGGTTGAACCTGTGGGTTAGCTGTGTCTTTCTCCTAACCCTATCTTGAGTTACAAGAATCTTGAGTCTTTAAAGGTAAGTTAAATGACCTATTTACCCTTTGTTGAAAATTAAGAAGTACAGACTTCCATTCGTTAAATTAACACAAGTACAAACATATAATCTTTAAAGGTTAATTCAACTTCTTGTTTACAACAAACATCTATAAGACTATATGTTAATGTTACATGGTTTCAGTTGAGTGAATGATTATTTTTTTAATTTAATGATGGGTTACAGTTATGTGGAGCAGGGCTGTCTGATGGTGTTTTTGTTAGTTGCTTCATGTCAATGTCATCAACTATAGTGGTTTGTTTGTTACCTAAATGTTTTTCTAGTCTTTTTAACTTCTAGTTTGTTACAGTGAGTGAGATTATTTTATTTACTTTTTCCTTCTATACTGGTGGTGAAATATTTAGTTAAGAAAAATAGTAATAATGCTCTTAATGGTCAGGTCACTATAAGGATACTCGTTTTTCAGGTAATGATTTTACATATTCAGGAACAAAGAAATGCTTATGACCTATTTTATAATTTTTTTTAATCTTGTTTTGGTATTTGCCAAGATTGTGCTGTTGGCTTACTTTTTTCCTTACTGCTAGTTTTGGGTGGCAAACAGTCAATAGGCCTTGGTTGTTTTCATCGCCTCAAAATCATCCCAACTTCTCGCAAATTCATGGGTCTGATTTATATTCCAGTTATGAATTGGTTTCTCTTGGCTGCTGCCCTTCTTCTTGTCACTTTCATTGCAAGCACTGATGAGATTGGAACTGCATATGGTATATTTATCTTCAAAAAATTTCACACTTCTCTTTAATATATAAATAATTTCAGTTTCATTGCAAGCATTGGTGTTTTCTATAATCGTAATTTTCATAATGTATATATGGAATTATGGTAGCAAGCTGAAACACGAAACAGAAGTGAAGAAAAAATGTCAATGGATGTAATGCGTGAGTTGGGAATTAATCTTAGAACTATCGGGTTTTGCAGTGGATGACCTCAATGGGAAAAGTGTAAGTCTTCCATTTTGACTTTTATTATTATTATTATTATTATTATTAGTATTATTATTATGAATATTATTATTATTATTAATGGTGTCTGCAGTAAAAAACATTTCACTTTTTACCTCGATGACATTGTCAACATATCTGTTTGGTGCATCTCTTTTAACATGGTCATCCATGCCATGCTTCCTGAATCTGATGGTGCAACTTTCATCTCAAGTAAGTTGTTATACCTATTTTCAATTTTCTTTTTAATTCTTAAGTTAACTAAAGTTTTTTTTTCTTAATTCCCTTTATTTATTTTTAGGATTCAGACAAATGAACTCTACCAGTTAGATGCAGTTGCTTTTTGCTTATTATCTGCTTGGGTAGGTTAAATAAAATGATATCGTCATATTACCATTGTTTCTTTTTCATTATTAAAACAAATGTATTTTAATATTTGTCAGTGTAGAGATAAATTAGGGCTAAGTCTTGAGTTGGGGTCTTTTGTGGCTGGTGTTATGATTTCCATAATTGATTTTGCATTATAATAATGAGTAATGACACACATACATATATTTTTTGCAGGTGGAGCCGATTTGAAACTTATTTGCAGCTCTATTTCTATCAAGTATTGGGATGCTTATACATGTACAGTTCTTGTGGACACATGTGGATATATTACTAGCATCTGTTATTCTGGTTATAGTTGTTAAGACTACAGTTTTTGCAGTCATTACAAAGGCCCTTGGATATTGTGTTAAGACATCATTTCTTGTAAGCTTCATTAGACCACTTAACCTCAAATCGAAGCCAAGTTCATAACCTTTTAGCAGGTTCGATTTTTTTTTTATTTTTTTTTATTTATTTTTTATACTTTTAGCCCTAAATAGATTAAGCCCTATCGCATCAGCCATGAGACATTTCTCGTCTACAACCAAAGATGTAATATGGATTCTTATGATTTTACATATCAATCATATTGAACCAAAAGGGGACAATAAGTTTATTTTTGGGTTTAATACTTTCTTGCCCAAAGTTATGAATTAGCTTATTCTTTTCCTATTTATTTGTGAAAAATCAATATGGCTTTTGCTGCTAAATTAACATTAAAGCTTAAAGTAGTTACCAGTTGTTTATTTCGAAATTTAGATTCCATTTCACACTTGAACTTGAGAAGCAACTTGCAACCCTATTAAATTATAATGGATGTTGGAGTATTACCACTAGTACTCAAAAACATGGATTTAACGAGCTACAAAACCCCAGATAGGTCACCATTGCGAATGATCCGAGATTTGTTTTTTTAGGGTTGGAGGGTGTTGTGAGCCTGGATGAAAGATTTCTAAACTATGAGAATGATTATTTCACTCATAAGAGTAGAGAACCGGATCAAGAACTTATGGGTGTGGAAGACAATAACCATATCAATGCTTCAATTAGTTCTTATTTGAGGCTGCTGTCCGGACATTTTAAGTTACCTTCAGCACTAAGGACACTCAAATATCTAATCCGTAGATACAAGTATGTATTACCATTCAAGCTTCACTTTTTCATGTGCTTTCAAATTTTCGTACATCAACATATCAGTTAATGTGTTGTTCTGCATTTTATTCAATGGGATTCATGTATACAACATTAATGACTTGATTTTATGTGTTATTTTGTTGTTAATGAATTGATGTAGGTGTTTCCAAAGAGGCAAGGAAAATGGAAAACAACTACACAACTGATTCAAAGGTGGCTCTACATGTACTTTTTTTAATCTTTTCTAAAAATTCATGTTTTATATTTTTATTCAAAATTTGACACTTTTTGACTTGTGTAAATAGCCCAAGGTTAGCTCTTCATCGAATGCTTCATAAGGTATTTAATCTGAAAAAAAGGTTAAGTTCAAGAGGAATGTGAAAGTGAAAAAACGATACAAACTTGGTAAAAAGACATTTTACATCTCAACACAAATCTTGAACCTGTAAGTTAACTACTTGTCCAATAGACTTTGTTTTTTGTTTTTTTTTTTTTGTAACTTTTCCAAGGGCACCAGTCATTTAGTTGGGTGACTTGGTGTGATATGTCATTTTTCTGATTTAGCCTTATCTTGGTCAAACTCAGCCGAAAGTGATGGGGTTGGGGGTGAGGCCACTTCGTATGCAAACTCTGTCTATGATCATCTGCCTCCCGGATAAATCTTCTGCATAACCCACAACCTGCGATTATGATTATGATTTATGAGTTTAAATTTAATGTTTGTTGGATGCATAAATAATTGAAGCTTTATTTATGTAAATGCAAGAAAAGATGGAGAGTACAAACCTAGGATTCTATGTCATGTACATATGGTCATATAACATATTGCTTCTATCTTTAATATGTCATCTACAACTATTCTCTAGTAGGTGGTTGTTGTAGTTTTATTTGTTTTAAATGGAAACTAGAAGACATTTCAACTTTTAAAGAACTGACCAAAGCATGAGTTTTTTGTTTTTTTGGAACCCTAAAGAAGAGAAATGACAGGTAGAAGAAATGAATAGAGAAAGCAAGATAAGATATGAGTCATCTCCTTATCCAATGCGTAGATTGGAAAGGGAAGAGCTAGAAATGGAGTTTCATGCTTTTAAACAAGAAATCAATCAAGTCAAAACTAATGATTTAGACATGAAAAGGTTTGATAACCATAACTCATCAAAGTAATATACTGCATTTTTGTTGACACATGACTCTTTTTTGTACAGAGCTTTGAATGAAAAAGAGAAAAGTCTTCAAGAGTCCCTTCAGCGGGTTGAGCTTCTTGAAAAAGAGATTGACAACAAGGATAAAGAGGCGCAAGTTATTCTCTTTTTTCTTGTATCAAATTAAAATGACAAGTGATTTTAAAAGTAGAATGAAAATGACAAGTGATTTGTGTTGTATTTACAAGGTTGATGAAAGCGAATAGCTTTGGATTTAGAAGAGGAAACGAAAGCTCAAGCTGAAAGAGATAAGATGTTGCAAATGCAAGTGTTGTATTCTTCATTTCAATTGTTAGTATGAAACATAGAGTAGATTAGATGAATGCAAATTTATATTTTGTGAGAAATAGAATTGTATGACATTAAATTTTATGCAATGGGTTGTATTTTTTTATATGGTATTATATCTATTATGAGACAGTAAATGCAAATTTAATTTGAAAATTAATAAATATATTTTTTTAAAACATTTAAATTTACGATACGCAAAAATGTGTCATCTTCATTTATGACATGGCATTTCTTGACAGGGTTTTAATGATACACATTGTGTGTCATTAACACGCGCGTCGTAAGGTTACGACACGCGAATGCGTGTCGTCTTCCTTTATGACAGGGCCTTCCTTGATACGCATTGCGTGTCGTAAACACGCGTCGTAAATGCGTGTCGTCTATAGACGACGCGCAAAAGCGCGTCGTCTCTCTTTATGACATGGTCTTCCTTGAAGCGCATTTGTGCGTCGTCTGAGCCTTTTACGACGCGCAATGAGCGTCGTAAAAGGCTGTTTTTCTAGTAGTGAAAGTTAAACAGATGAGTATGCAAGAAAATAGGATGATATCGACAACTGATTTTAGTAATTCTACAATTGGAAAAACACAAGCAATAATAACCGAAGATACACACAAGCATTCAGCCATTTTATTGTTTGATTAAATACTTACTATAATAACAATATAATTAATTTATTTAAAGACAAAATTTATTTAGATGGAGACGACTTGAATCATCGAACTTTTACAAAAGATTTGACATCGTTAAGTGATTTCACACCATACAAACCTGCATTACTTATTCTATAAAATCTTTTTCCCATTTCCTTACCTGCAATAGAAAAAAATTAGGAATATCAACTTCTTATGCATTATCATCAAATATTACATTCATAATTTTTAAAAACACTTATCGTGATCTGTGAAGGAGTACTCCTCAAAACTAATATTTCTTCGAAATGAGTCAGAGTTGGAATCATTTTTAAAATCACACTTTTGGACTTTAGAAATAACATAAACAATCTCGTTTAATTTCAATCTATAAAACTGAAATTTTTTATGTTTTTCTTGCTTTTTCAATGCCATTTCCACTTTCTTGGACAAGTCATTCACAACCCACTGAATATCTGACTCAAGATCCTGTAGATATAAATAAAAAATGAAATTGCAGTTATGTAGATAATGTAGATAACATTGTTTAAAATTGCCTCAAATATAAATACAAAGAAATACTTAAACTTAAAAATATGGATCCACTTGCAACTTCTTCACTACACTTTGCAGCATCAACTCCATTACCGAAACCACCATTGTTCAATTCATTGGTTTCTCTAAACTTTGCAGCATCAACTCCATTACCGAAACCACCATTGTCCAATTCATTGGTTTCTCTAAACTTAAGTTGATCTGATGTCCAAAAATTAGTTATATGATATGTTCTCAATATGGGCATTTGCTTACATTGAATCCTATCATCATATAGCAACTACACAAAATAATTTTTATTACAATCTGAAATGTCATGAATGTTAATTATCCTATATACAAATCAAATAATTTAAAAGCATATACCGTTATAAATTCACAAATTCAAGACATATGAACACCAATCTATTCGATCCAACTTAGATGACCGAGACAATTGAGGAAGAACTTTTGAAATTACATGCTCCTTGTTTGTTACATGATCCAAAACATGTACACATCAGAATTTTGAAATTCACAATGAAAACCATATTTGCTTCGCTTCGCTCTATTATCTTCACCACCAAATCAGAAGGAGCTAATAATGACAATGGTTTCTTAAATTGGTCTTTCCAAATTTCAAACCAATCCTTATTGCCTTGGACACCTAAACAACTAATCTGCTCAACACCCAAAGGCAAACCTAGAACCCTATTCACATATTCTCTTCTTACAGGAATATTTCCACCTTCACTCTTAATAACCATCTCCTCATGATCAAAAGAATCCACAACAAATAACATAATTTTGTTGGAATACTTTGAGTCTTTATATCAAGCAATGATCCAAACCCGATTATCCTTAGACATTCTTTTTGTTTCCCATTCAAATATTTCATAACCCCGTAAAAAGATTTAAAAGACACACGATCATACAAAGATTTCACATTACCAGATTCAACATCATATTTTTTAAACATTTTTATCAGATTTTACTACAAACTTCTTAAAACTCCTTATACTCGCCTATTCATAATCGGAATCATTTGAAAAATCATTAGAACCTACAAAACATATAAAAAAAACAAATACAACAATAAAATAAAAATACTTTGAAAATATATTGAACTTCAAAATATATAACATTATACTTGTTATGTTATTGAATGTATATTACCATATAATCCATTTTTTTTATTCTTGCAGACTTTAGAAATATGATGTCTATCCTTCTTAAGCTTCAAAGAATTACTAGAATGTATCTTAATTGATTTTTTACTCATATCAAAATGAATAACACTATTTATCAACCACAAACCTTCATTGATTTTTTTCCCCTTGCTAAGTAAATGATCACTTGAAAAAACTACATATGTAACACTTGAAAAAACTACATATGTAAGTTCTTCATGCTCTTTCATAATCTTACATATTTAGTAGAATCTATCTCAATTTGATTATTCATAACTGCAACAAAATAACAATACAAAAGAACATAATTTTTATTCAAAAAAAATAAATCTAAAACGTTATTTATAAACCACAAACCTCCATTTATTTCTTTTTTCTGGATAATCAACTCATCAACTCAACAATTGTCATCTCTACATTCTTCGTCGTCTTCAATTTCAATCGGGTAATCAATAGAGTTTTCCTTCCGATTCCATTTGCGATAGCTTTTTTTTTTTTTTTTTTTTTTTTTTTTTTTTTTTTTTGTGAATTAAACTTTTTTCTATTTGAACTAGCATCCAATATCGCTTTAAACGCAAACATCTAT